TGTGGGAGGAACTGATTGTTGAGAACTTGGAGGGCAGACCAAGACTCCAGTTTGGGGAGAGGCCAGAGGGAGCTGTCAAGAAGAGAGCTTCTTCTTTTAATTAGAGTTCTAGGAAAAGGTCTAGACATGAGATAGAAATTTGGGAATTGTGGGCACCACTGAGGACTTGAAGCCATGAGATTAAGTGAGATTTCTTAGCAGGGTCATGCAGAGAAAAAGGAAAGAGTTTTAAAGACTAAGTCCTGGAACACACCAACACTAGAGGTGGGGGAGATGCAGAAGCTATGCAAAAGGAGTATGAGGCAAGATAGGCACTTGAAACAATATAAATCCTTGTTTTAATTGTGTTTCTGTTACTAATCATGAGTTTATAAATATAAACATATTTCACTATGTGCTTTATCTTTCTTTACATCTCCCAAATATGACTCCCCTCTTAACAACACACACACACGAGTATGGGTGTATGTGTGCGTATTGTAATGTATTAATATTAAATAAATTATTTAAATAGATAATACATAAAGTATATATTTGTCCATGTATATAACTTACTGTTTAATCTGTAGGAAAGCATTATGAAATCAATATCAATTTTTATTATCCATGATTTGCTATATATTTACAGCCTATAAAATATTTTGTCTAAGCAAATATTTTGTCTTTCTTTGGGTTTCATCTGATTGATAGTTGAGTCGAGTGTTTGGATTCAGTTTAGGTTTCAGATCCCTGTAAAATAGAGTTTAGCTATATTCTTTTTATCTAGATAATTAAATTATACTCAGAACTTCCCATTTAAGAAGCTATAACTGTTAAAATATATGACATGTTTAAAGAGTAAGGCACTGAATAGGTAGATGAAATTTATGTGTACTTAAAATTATTTTGTGGGTGGTGATATTTTTTTTCCATACCACATTATTTCATTCTGGACACCAACATTGGCTTTTATTGTGGAAAATGAATCCTTCAGCCTCGTAGGTAAACTGTTCATTGTTACAAGACTTCATTGGAAGAACCAATACCTGCTACAGAACCACTTCAAGGGACACTGACTTCAGTGAGGGTTATGTCGCATGGTGGTGACTGAAGAGCATGTTGTAGGGGGGAGGGGAGTACATTAGAAGGGAATAGATAAAAGGGTGATTTAAAAAAAAAGGTTAAGAAAGGAAACACTGGTAATGAGAAGGGAATCAAAGGAACTTGTGCCAAACAGAAAGGAGTATATGGAGCATACACAAATATCTTGGTTTTTGTTTTTTCATAGAGAGATTTTTGCTATAGGGTGTACTCACCGGAAAGAGAGAGAGACAAAAAGAAAGCGAGAAATCACCCCTCAGGAGGGATGGCCACACCGCAATCTCTTCTCCTCCATTCTCCTTTGGAAATCTTGAGCACACACACACATACTGACATGAGTTTAAGCTCTCAGGTCCAATACTCAAACCATTGTCAACTACATGGGAGTCCAGAGACATAACCATTATGCCATGTACTGATCCCCATACGTATCTTTTTTTTTTTTCAAGAAAATTTGTTTATTTCTGTAGCATACAATTTAACATAATAACCAGAATTATGACAGATAATTTACAAGATTTCTAGAATTTCATATAACTTTTTGGAAAACATAGAAATAACACATGCATAAAATATAACTCAAAGCAAGTTAAGCATTTCTTATTTGTAAATGCTCTTAATTAGCTAGATTTAACCATTTCCCCATGTGTATTAATTATACTTCAAAACATCTTATGTGACATAGTATATATATATATATATATATATACATATATATATATATAATTTTAGCAATTTTTAGAAATAAATTTAAAAATTAGGATGAAGAAGAAGAACTTTTATTAGAGTTATCGTATAGCGTGTTCAAAGATTTAGAGGGGATCTTAGAGTCAATACAATTGTCTACCTATATTAGGTTCCAAAAGGCTTATTACAGATGCTACTGAGATAGAATCTCTTGGTATAACCAAGTCATCTGCACTTTTACCATAAACATCCTGGCTCTGTCCTCATTCCTAAATGAATTTCATGACTGCTAAAATATGAGCACCAGTGAACTAGGGTATAAGTCAAAACCACGTGAAAAATAAATCTTGGAAATAAGTGTGTTAAAAATCAAATGGAAAGGAGATTCTACGGGAATTTGCAGAGTAAGAAAGATGTCAAAATGATAATGAAAGGAGATCGTGTCCAGGAATAAAGCCACCATGAACTGCCAGGAAAGAATGATACAAGTAAAGAAGAACGGCAATAGTGACAGGAGTCAAAAAGAATGAATGGCTGTGAGTGGATGAGAGGCCAGAAATGACATGCTAAGAAAGAGGCGCAATGTGACGAGTGACGAGAAAGACAAGACTACGTGTGGCCTTAGGCCTTAGAGCGTCCCAAGGGCTGAGCCACAGGAGGCCCATCAGTACCCATAAGACTGGACCAGAAAGCAAACTGTAATGACATGAGATCAGACCAGCAAAGAGGGATCCCAGGATGGCCACCACACTGTTCTGTGCTGCATCTGTAGCAGGTATTGCTCTCTGCTGTCAGAGCTGCTAAGTGTCAGGCCTTATCTCCACCCCAGTAACATAACACTCTCCTTAGATAATCATGTTCTTTGCAAAGACAGCACAAACTTGTTTGACTTATTAAAGACTCTGGTGGATTGAACTTCGCATCCATCTGAGTACAAATGAGAAGGAGGAAATCCCCATTCATGAGTATTAGTCTAAATGCTTTCATGTACTCCGGAAGGAAATCTTCAGTCCCAACCAGGAGAAAAGGCAGAGACACAAGTGATTAGCAAGACTATTTTTCCCTTCCTCATCCTCGTTTTCTTATTTAGTCTTATTTGTGCTAAAATAAATAAGTAGCTAAGGAATGTTTTATTGTAAGTCTCTACATGTCCAACATTTAAAAATCGCCAAGGAATGAATTGAGAGTGAATACTTACAAAAGTGTCATGGATTCACAATGTGTTTTTAGCTTCATATACCAGTAGTTCTCATGGACTCTGTCCTATCTTTGAATAACCCAAGCATCCTAGGACATTTCTTATCATCATTTTGCAGTCAATAAGTAAATAAAGTATAAAGGGAATCTTCAAAATGTTTGTGGGAAATGCATATTATGAAAATGTAATGCTGTTGGAGCTGGCAGATGGCATGGTGGTTAAAGGCTCTGGATTCCCACATGGCCGAATACAGTTTGAGTCCCAGACCTGGCAGCTTGCTTTCTTGCTTTCCCTTTCTCTCTCTTTCTGTCTCTCTGGTCAAATTGAAGAAAACAACAAATAGAATTAAATAATCAAATCATTCTTTAAAAAAAGAAAAAGTAATGCTGTTTTCATACCAGAATAAACAGGTACTTTAAATCCATTTTCCATGAACTTTTTGAAGTACCCTCATATGAGAAATATTCATGATCACTTCCTTAAAGATTCTGGTATTTTCTTTTGAAAATAGAGGAAAGAGAATGCTTCCTAGATGTTAATTTTCTATTTATTTCTGATTTTTCAAAATGAGAAATAGAGTTTGGGAATGTAGTTAATTTAGTTGGTAAATGGAGGGGAAATATTCAATAAATATTCAACATAATCATATTAGAAAATCCTTTGACAATTGGGGACAAGTGGATGAAAGCAAGTTTGCACCAACAATGTGAATGCACCAACTGTGATTTCCTCTTCTTTCAGTCTGGCTAGCATTTTACTATTTTATACTTTTATCTTTTCTAGTAAAACAAATCAAAGATTACTTCATTTTTTTTAAGAATTACTTTACTTTACATTATTTATTTACTTACTTATTCTAATGTGACCAGAGTGGGACAGAGCGAGCAAGAGAGAGAAAGTGAGAAAGCAAGCCACCAGGTCCATGACTTGAGCCACAGTCGGCCATATGGGAGTCCAGTGCTGTCAACCACCACACTAGCTGCCAACCCCCAAGATTTCTTCGTTCTGTGGGATTCCTACTCCCACAATATACTTGATCAGTTCCTACATGGTAATTATAGAAGTCAAAAGTTCTATAATGAATCATCAATTTTAGGGCTGAACCAGGTCTCGTTAAGGGAGCTGAATCCTACATGGCTGACCTCAGTTTGAATTACAGTCCTGACTGCTTGAAAAGCATGCCCCAGTCCCACAGGATGGAGAAATAGAGGAGAGGGTATTGTGACATGATTGCACCCCATTAGGAGGTGTTTTCTCCTTCCTCCTTTCTCTGTCTCTTTCTCACTCTGGCAGGCATATATGTCCTTGGACAAAAAAAAGAAAAAGAAAGTTTATATTTCTTTACATGTTAGGTGTAAAAGAAAAGAGAAAGACAGGTAATAAAATAACACAATAGACTTTCTCTGCTGTGCATGTGGTTTTTCTCTCCACTGAAATCCACATGTCCATTTAGCATTCATTTATTTTCTGGCTATTAAAACCCTCTCCCTCCTGACCCCTTACCTAGTATTAAGGGGAAATCTATAGGAAGCAGCTGTTAAAAGTTTGCTCTGTGCCAAGCACAATTTTAGGTGCTCATATAAATGATTTCTAATCAACCCTCCCCCATAGAATTATTTGGATAATTATCCCCACTTTTCTGATGAAGAAGCTAAAGGCTACTCAAGGTCCCCCAGCAAGTAAATGAGAATCCATGATTTAAATCGACATTGGTCAGAGTATAAAGGTTCCCATTTTTCCTTCTGGGCTCTGGGCCTCAGGTTTACTAGCAATGAAGACTAATACTAATTTGTTTCATATACAGATACCCGTTATGTGATATGGAATCATAAAGAATTTTTCTAGTAGGTGAACAAGGACTAGAATTATTTTAAAATGAATTAGAACATCATAGACATCACTTAATAGCATTCTTATGTGTTCAGTAGGAAACTGTGATATTTGCAGTTCTCTCTATCATTTGCCATCTGGTATTAAGGGCTACAAATTCATTCTGCTTTTTGTGTATAATCTGCCTTTATTTTTGATGCTGCAGTACTGGATACCAGTTTATTTACTATTCACCTGAAAACACAGCCAAAGCAAAAGAAGTTCTCAGCAACATCAATCAACTACAACCTCTTATAGCAACCCATGCAGACCTGCTACTTAATTCTGCAAGCCAGCATTCTCCAGACAGCTTGAAGAATTCTTTAAAGATGCTTTCAGAAAAGGTAAGATCCAAATCATCAATACAGTGGGGAAAAATGAAATACTCAAATCCCCACTGGTGTTGCTTGCTACATGCATTGCCTTTCCTAGCATCTGGAAATGTAAAATAGACAAGGTTAAAAGTAAGCTTCAAAGTATTGCCACAGGATCAAAATGAATTGGCCTCATTCTCTTTTCAAATCTTACTGAGCATTATTTTTTTTTTCTTAGTAGGAAATAAAACCTGTTATTGGTGGGTATATATATATATATATATATATCCTCTTTTCCTTGACGTCTTTCATTTTCTTTGGTTGATGGTCTTATTAAATGAATTAAATTAGATTTTCAAAATGACTATTTCCTTTGGTGATCACCTAATTTTTAATGCATATAAAACTATACATTTGAATAGGAATGTAACTTAATTTGAAAGCAGAACTTTGATGTAGGTTCGGATCATTCGTATGGGGATAATTTCTATGCCTCAGTTTGATTTCTATGTTAGCTCTTAAGAGAAGATTCTAAAATTTTCCAAAAGTATTAGTTGTTGTTTGAAACCTAAGCCTAAATTTTCCCAAAGGTGACTTGCTCTGGTATCTGCAGAGAGGAAAAATAGTCCGGCATGGCATAGCCTCTCAGTATCTGCATTTGTAACTAATGAGGACAGTTGCACAATGGAGGGAAAACCAAGACAGAAAGAGACAAATCCAGCTTGTTTTAAAATGGCAAGCTGAATATCCTGGAGTCCAATTCCTATGTGCTCATCCTTTACCTCTGCATTCCGAAGACACAATTTATTATGAGATACTTCTGGTGAATATGCCCTTTAAGAAACTGACCCAAAATATTACCATATTATTAGTCTAGAATGAGACAACAGTGTAGTTCTTCACCTGCTTGAAAAACAGATGCATAGAATCCTGGGTATTATATAGGTCTACACTTCTTATTCAGATATGTTGTAATACTGGATTGTTGGAAACATCATGATGCAGGGATCAGCAAATGGTCCCTGTTGCTGGACTCTCACGTGGTCAACCACAGTTCAAGTCCCAGACCCAATGGCTTAAATTTCATGTTGGGGGTCTGTGTGCATGTGTGCCCAAGATCCTGAGAGGAGAATGGAGAAGGGATTGTGATGTGGCCATCTTTCCTTGGGGGGTGATTTCTTACTTTCTGTCTATCTGTCTTTCTGGTCAGCACATGCGCCCTATAACAAAAATCTATCAAAAAAAAAATTCACTATGCATTTTTGCAAAGAAAAATATGTCATGACTTTTCTGAACTCAATAATATTTTACACCTATTTAACATTTTAAATTGTACATTTTTTCATATATTATTTCCATAGGAGTAAACTAGTATCTATTTTAATTAAAAATTAGCAAATATCTATTCAGAAAGGTCATGTAAATTGTGTAATAAAGAGTGAAAAATCAAAGTTCAAGACTTCCAGTTTGAGATGAGCATTTCTTCTGTGCCAGAACAAGTGACTCTATTATGAAAGCGAAGCAAATAGTGATCCAATTTTTATAAGTACTTACTTTGTATCAAATAAGGCAAGAGGTTTGTGTCTTATTTCACTTCATCTTCACAATTGTAGGACACTTACTATATGCATTACAAAATGAAAGTCTAAAGCTCAAAGAACTTAAAATCCATAGAGAATTTAAAATATATAAAGTTGGGGCCAGCAGATGGGATAATGATTACATTGCTGAATTCCCATGGGAATCTGAGACTGTGGCTCGAGTCCCAGACCCAGTGATTTAAAACTTACCCTGGGTACATGTGCATGCATACGCAAGAACCAAGAAAATTGAAGAGAAGGGGCCGCAGCATGCCCATCTCCCCTAGGGGTGATTTCTCATTTTCTGTCTGTCTCTCTAGTGAGTGCATGCACCCTATATATATATGAGTGAGTGAGTGAGTGAGTGAGTGAGTATGTGTATTATAATATGTAGAGTCATGCAGCTAGAGTTAAGCTCTAAATTCAAACAAGACCAGGGTTCAAACTCAGGTATGGTTGACTCAACAGTAGAAGCTCTTTCTGGTATTTTCCATGTAATATATGTATCTCGACAGGATTTTTTTTTCTTGGTTTTTAAATTTGCCAGAGACAAATAGAGACACAGAGAGAGGGTAAGGGAGAAACTACCCCTAATGGGGCATACTCACACCACAACCTCTTCTCCTCCATCTCAGCATCCTATTGGGACTTGGGGCATACATGCAAACACACCCAGCATGTTTTGTTAGCCGCTAGAGCGGGGCTACAAATCCTGTGATCAGCCATGTGGGATCTGACTCCCTCAACCCTCAGCCACAGGGACAGCCCAGTAAAATAAAATTCGGTTAGATATACTCCTCAGCCACACTCACTTTTTCACATAGTCAGTAAATACTCTTTAAAGCTGGGGGGAAAAAATAAATTGTTGTTACATAGAGTCAAATAGTCTAATTTTACTTTGGCTCATTTCTTTTTTGGATTTGTAGATGAGGTGAGGTTTTTCTGGGTTCACCTAAGCAGAAAATTTTAGCAAATAGCTCATCACTGCAGTGATTACAGAGCAGTATTTCTCGTCTTCCTGTGCACTGGGCAGGGATTTGTCATTTCATACATCATTTACAGCCTGCTGCAGTGATTTGGAGGGTTGGAGGTAGGGCAGGTATTTTTCCTTCTGTAATCAAACATTGCTCCAAGTCTTCCTCTTATGTTTTCTACTGAGTAGACAAGCTTTGTCTACTAATAAATCTCTCAGCCTTGAAACTAGGAGAATCTCAGCCTCTAAAGTTAAGTTTGCAAGCCATGCATTCTTTTAAAAATGTTTGCCTGGAATTTCAAATTATTACATTAACAGTTTTGAAGACCGTTAGTAGCTCATGGTTTAAAACATGGATTTGGCACTAGAGACAAATCTTAATGACATCTTACATTTTTAATATATGTAATATTAGGATTTAAGCATACAAATTTCATTTTTTAAGTTTCAGAGGTCTTGACTACTGTAAATTAGAAAATAAGAATCATGTAACAAGCAGATGGCCTAATGGCTACATTGCTTGACTCCCATGTAGTCGGCCACAGTTTGAGTCCCAGACCCAGTGGCTTAAACTCCTGCCAGGCACGTATGCATGCGTGCCCAAGATCCTGAGAGAAGAAAAGAGGAGAAGGGATTGTGGCGTGGCCATCCCCCCTGGGGGGTGATTTCTCGCTTTCTGTCTCTCTCTCTCTCTGGTGAGCACACGTGCCCTATAGTAAGAAACTGAACAAATAAATAAATAACAATCCTTTTTTCATTGACAATACCCTCGTTTATGTTACTGACCATGAAATGGTATGTTTGGAAAATAAATATTAAGAGGGTTCTTTTTTTCTTTTTTTTTTAAGTAATATGTCAAATAGCTTATTCCAGATATGAAATTGTCCATATTCATACTTATCAGGGAACTCTGAAAGTTTTATAGCATTTGAGCACCTAAAAATGGAAAAATCTACCATGTTCTCTGTGGTAGACTAACTGAGATTGCTGGGGAATACTTGGAGTATCCCAGGGGGAGCATCGGGGAGAAGCATTCATCTCTCATGATGGTTTTGGCATTTCTCTAAGAGAAACCACAGCACCTGGAGATGAAGCATATCAACTGAAGCATATCAGTTAAACATGGCCTCAGAGTTTTCAGGAAAAGCAAGAAGAAAAACCTGACTGGGTGACAGGGACTATTCAAGGAGTTTCAGAGAAGGTAGTAGTTGCAGATCTAAAGACAAATTCTCATTGTCACTTCTACTGTTGAGAACCAAACCACAGGGCTGTCTCTCCAGAAAAATTTCCACAGATATTCACTGGTAGAAACAAATACATTAAGGAAATAGTACTTATAAAGAGATAAAATATTCTTGAGTATTTTCCAGGAATTGTGCTTGAGACAAGGGGTACACAATAGAGTAACACACAGACCTCTTCTACCCCTCCAATTTAGATTCTCATGATAATAGATATAATGATCATGACAGTAATAGCATTCATTGACAACTGAATAACTATCTTATAAGATCTTCAATTGTCACAATCCTATGAGGTGGATAGTATTTTCAACATTTAATCTTCCTGCCCTGTAAGTATTGTTAGTAACCTTATTTAACAGAGTCGAGAAAACCAAGGTATAGAAATATTAAATAATGTGCTCACAATCACACACTTTGTGTTTCTGGCTCCATATTCAGAGAGCTTAACCACTATATTTTTAGATATGCCTCAAGTACTATGACAGATTCTTGCACCAGGGACTATGGGGGGAAAAGTGTGGGGGCAGGGGTGAGTTAGGATTTTGAATTCTGACCATAACTGAAATTTTACAAGAATGAATCTTTTATAAAATTTTTACATCCTAAATGAGCATAAACTCAGTTAAATTTTATCATCCTTTTGAAATTCCTAGTATATCTTCTGATAGATAATTGGATTTGTTTCCTGCCCATTAGTTCATGAAAATATTAAAGAAATAATTTAATCTTTTGACATAAGATTCTAACAAACGGCAAGCTCTGAGTTTATCTGAATAATTCCAAGAGAGAAGACAAAGACTTGGTCAAAATTTTTAGCATAAGATATGAAAGGTTAATAATGGAGTAAGATACATGCATTTTCCTTTTCCCTAGAACTAAAAGAGAAAAAAATGTAAAGACTTTTCCATGTAATGTAAAAGAATTCAAACTGAAAGAAAAGAAAAATAATGACCTAACTTCAGGCAGAGTACAGGGGTGTCTCATAGCTCTGAAATGTGTGACATTAGCTTTTGAATATCTATCACTTTCTCTATTCCATAGGGATTGAGAAGACTTGTTGATAAAGCCATTCTACTGCTCATCAAAAGGCACGATGTAGCACTTAATTATGATATTGTATTTGATGCTATATGACAAATACTACATATACACGACCCTTAACTTTTACAACCTAAGAATGAAAAATAATGGGAGTATTATACAATTTTGCCATTGTTAAATGGTTAAAAATGG